TTAAATAGTTCTTAGTCTTCAAGTCCTTCAACCTTTGCTCTTCAATCACCTTCTTTTGGTCTGCAATGAGATTCACCCCATCCGCAGCTGCTGGATTCCAGTTTCTATCAAACTCCAATCCTCCTTTGAGCACAAAAATTTCTCAATGAGCATAATCTAATGATCACAATTCCCTTTCAAACAGTTGAATAGCAAGTTGCACAAAATTGCCATCAATTTTTCCCTCACGTGCCATGGTGCTTGCACTTGCACTCAAGTTAAAAAAGCTACAAACTTTTGGTGAAGTTTTGTACGGGTACCATATGTTAATTTTGTAATTGCGTAAATGAAAAGAAGTAGATGTGGCTATAAATAGCCTTACAAAGAAACATAAGAGAAAATAACTACCCATGATTTCATAGCACTACAATCATGGGGCTGTACTACTCGTCCCTCAAGACTAGAACTTGATGGAAACTACTGCAAGACTAAAAGACTAAGATAAAATAAATATTTTAATATTTATTACTTGTTTAAGACAACAACTGATTGACAAATGTATACTTACATGGCTCTCCATTTGCTAATAGTTCGAGAGACTTATTTCACATAAATCTGCAACTTTAGTCATAGAAGATTTATGAGCATTAATCTAACAATTTAAATGTCAGATTTATTTTTATTTTAATCTTGTTTATAAGTATTTTATACTTTCATACTTTAATAATTTATTTTTGAATTTAGTAATAAAAAATTTAATAAGTAATATAACTGAATATTTTTAACCATCCCTAATTAAAAGAAAGCTTAGTTGTAGGTGACAACCACAAGCATTGTCTTATAGAATGAGGGGTATTAAAATTGGTAAATTCTATTCATATCCCTTACACTAAAATCCAAATAAACACTAAAAATAATGTACTTTAAATTTCATTTTTAGTCATTTCCATAATTTTGCTTTTACTCCTATATTTCTTTCATGTATTGCTTTTAACACTTTAAGTCATTGTTTGGTAAAAATAAATTAATTTATTTTCTGAGTATATGTTTGGATGCATATAAACTAACTTATTAAAATGATATTTCAGCTTATTGTCATTTTTTTTCAATTATAACTTTTATTAATATT